CATTAAGCCGATCTGTCTGCAATTTCCCCATTCTTCCTCAATTCCCTCTGAAGTCGGCAGCGATCACTTTCCCACACCCCCGCGGCCCAGCGATGCGGCTCACTGTACTGCAGCGGCATGTGCCCTGGGCCAACCCGAGCACTTTCACAGGACCGATTACCATGTCCACCCACACACGAGCGGATACACTCGATCACAAGCACACACATGTTGACAGGTTTCATCAACTGGGGGGTGGAGGCAGATTTCTGTTGTATTTGTCCCAATAAGTTGTTCATGTCAGTCGTGATTCTTTTGGTATTGTGTAACCATTAAAGATGACAATGAAAGCAAAAGAAAGGAGAGACTGTGTTTTCAGGTCTTTTAGGCTAACTTGTTATATCTTGGTGTTGGTGTATATTACATTGATCGGTTTATTGCCATTCAGTGATCTGAAGGCGACAGCCCTTCACTGTCTGACCCTTCCTCCACAGAAACGTTGTTTTCATCGTTGCTTCCTGAACGATTTGGCTCAAAAAAATAACATTGCAGTCCTTCAGGAGAACCAGCTCCCTCTTCTTCATCACTCCAACTAACCTCTTCTTCCAAAACTGCAGATAAATCAATCAAATATTTGCTGAAATCTCTCACAACTTCCTCCGCTTCTATGTATTCAGCCGTAGTTGATAACGGTTTGACTTACCCTGATTACGTCACAAGATGGCGCCAGCGTTTGACCCAGTTACTACGGACGAAAACTGCGAAACTCTGGAATTACCTGAAATACTTGTTGTTAAAAACTTTTGTGTACACAGAATGAAAGCTCAGTGCTTCATCTTTTTAAATCATGTAAGTGGTTTTACTGTCTTAGTGACACTTTAAGCCTCACAATTGTGTGTGTGTGTGTGTGTGTGTGTGTGTGTGTGTGTGTGTGTGTGTGTGTGTGTTTTCACATGCCCCAGAGCAGTGATTAATGGCCCACAGCCCTGCGTTCTTGTACTTCCTTCCTTTCCATGCGCGCCACATACATCATCACGCCTCACCGTAAGTGACGCTGGCAGCCGGCTACCGCTCCTGCTTAGCCACGTGGCTGAAAGCAAACCATAACATCCTTCATATGCTGATTCAGACATTCACTGGGAGCTGTACAAGGAAACTTCTCATGTCAGGAGTTCAATTAGACAACTTAGAAAGCTTTGTCCCGCTCTGACCTGTGGCTTGTAACGGAACGGTTTCATTCCCTACGCTGAAGCTGTTCACTTTGGTGTTTCAATTTTCTTGTGATAGTTAAAAAAAATGCTGCTTATAATGCAAAAATCACATATTGTTCTGTGATGGGAGCCGTTTCATTTTTATCTGTCTTTACAGAGAAATCTCAAGGGCGTCCAGTATGAAACGTTAGCCTGATGAAAACCAGGCTAACGGTTTTGTATTGAAAACCATTGCTTGATGGAGGTGTGGACTCTGAGGTTTTAAATTTTACCCAATCCCTAACGTTTGTCTGTAATGTATGTAATGCGCCAGTTCGACGTGAAGCTTACCGGAAATTGCCTGTGCTGAAAACAGCCATCCTGTGTCAAAAACTCTTGACACAGTAATTGACGCAGTTATTTTGTCAGACTCACCATTTCTTGTTTTAGGTCGGTTAAGATCACAAAAATATTTTTATTTTCTAAATGCCAACTTTTTAAACTTTTTCTTTTTAACTTCAGACATTTCAGATTCTAACATTTCATTCACATTTGGTAGAATTTCTTTTTATGAATTTCAGAAATCTCTCACACTGTTTTGGTGGAATTGTGGCCCATTCCTCGTTATGTAACTGATGTAACAGAGTCAGGTTTGTAGTCTGCCATGGTCACACACACACATACACACACGCACACAGAGAGTAGAGATCAAGGCCTTTTGATGGCTTCACCAAAACAATAGGTTTGCTGCCACTTTGAAGGTATACTTAGTCACTGACGAGACCCGTTGTAGTCCAGACCACCAAACCTGAAACCAAATCAAGACCAAAACTAAAGTGTATCGAGACTGAGACAAGATCCAGACTTTTCGGGGCTAACACCAAGTCCAAACCAAGACCAGGGCCTCACATTACATGAGACAATCAAATGTGAAACATTATCAAAAATGTTCTTGAGTTTGATCTGAAAGATATATATTACCATAAAAACAACCAGACATTAAACACTCAAAGTTGAAATAAACTTGACCATCTCTACTCAGGTCTCCTGGGTGACGTCCATCATTTAGTACAGAATGTACAAAATGATTTCTCTGCCTCTGATAAGTAAATAATCTATATTATTTTTAAACCAACAACAAGCCAACAACGGGTCAGGTGTGAACGTACCCTTAGTATTAGGTTTTAGCTGTACGTTTTGTGGAGAAATGATGTACGAACCTTCACTAGTCCAGCTTCAGTTTGACTGATTTTGTGCTATGATGTCACATGGATCTGACAAGTAATAACAAAACCAGCTGTAGAGTCAGACCTGCTACAGTTTCAAACATAGAACATGGGAATATGCATTAGACCCTTTAGATATTAAGCCTTTAGACATATCTGTCTTTATACTGTATATATGAGAAGTGATTGGGGGAGCACAGGAATACATATCCAGACCCAGTAAATACATATCATCCACCAAAAAAATATGACAGACTTGTCCAAACCTCTTTTGTCTGCTTCACAAAAATTGGTGCATAAGGCAAATATGCAAGCACATGGGTTCTGGGTTGTCCGCTGACATGTTTTAGTGTGTAGTGAGTTCGTGTGATAGAGACGGATTGAGAGAGAGCGAGAGAGACGGAGCGAAGTGGAGAAAAGAATGAGCTGTGGAAAAACAGAGCGCGAGGTGAAAGAAAAAGAACAGGGAGACAGAGCAGCGCGAGCTAGTCCTGCATGTGCGCTGGTTCCCAGCCCTGTCTGGGGCCTGTCAGCCGGTGATTTATGGCACCGAGACTGGGAGCAGTCTTCGCTGCCAGCTCGGTATTGTTACAACTGACAGCTAATGAGGCTGGACGGGCTTTCAAGCACGGCACTTAACAGAGGCCTCCAACTTCACGAGTCACAAGCTTTCCTCCTTCTTTTCTCCATTCCGCTCTCTCTCTCCCATTTATTTCGTCTTCCAGGGTGGCAGCAGCGGTGTGGCGAGCCAGCGCAAAAAAAAAAAGAAAGAAAAAAATTCAAGCGGGGGATGCGGGGAGAAAATAAGGCAGGCGACAGAGATGTATGACTAGCGCCGCACTTCCTCTCGCTTTCCGTCGGTATACGCTATTAAACCAGAAGCTCCTGCAGTTCTTTACCTCTGAGGCCCAGAAATACTAACTTCACCCCCTCAGCAATTACCCTGTCATGTTTTTTTTTTTGTTTTTTTAGAGGTTTGGAGAGTCACATGTCTCTCCTCGCGGTCTACCTGTGATTATGTGAGGGTGATCTGTGTGAGGTTAGCTGAACTTTACGGTCTTGGCAGCGGCGTGTTTTTACCTTCAACACCCCTGGCCTGAGCTGCCCGGACCGCATAATCACAACCAGAGTCTCTGGCAGAGCCGCCTTCTCCCCTCCTTCCACCTCCTCTCCCTTGGCCCCTGGTTTCATGTCAGTCGTGATTAATGGCACTAGGGCCCCGGCGCGGCTTACTCTGCCAGTTCCAGCAATGTTCCCTTGATACTTAATGAACTCTGACAAACTTCTTTTCCCTTGCTCCGTTGTTCCCTTTTACAATCCCACCCCCCCTCCAGCCACGTTTAAAATGCATGACACAGAGCTGCCACAGCAGCACCTTGGGCTTATAGCTCCGGTCGTCCCTTTTGTAAATTTCTCAGGAGGGCCGCCGATGCCTAAAAATAAAGCACCGCGGCCCTTTAAGGAGTCAGGGCTCTCTCGGTTGTTAGCCTGGCATTGCCACACAAATGAGCGAGTTCAAAACCTGCTAGGCCAAATGAATCATGACTGCTCTGATTCCTGCGGCTCCCAGAAAACTGTGATTTGTACCACTATAAATGGTTTGTCAACAACGGCGGATTAAATGAAGGATTGTTTTCTTGAATAAATGCAGAATGATATTGTGTTTTGGTTTTCCTCTGAAGCCAGTCGTCTGGAAATAAATGTCAAGTTTGATGCAAGACAGCAGGGTTGAAAAAAAAAAAAAGCCTCTGAAATGTTATGGTGGACCCTTAAAAGCGGATAATACTGCAGACTTTTAAGGGTCATATTTCAACATGGTCTCTGTCTCCCCCTGCTGTTCACTTTAGGAAAGACCACGATCCTAATTTGCATTACTGTATTTGGACAAATACAGGGAAATAAAATATGTGTATACTTTAAAAAAACACTCTTGTCTTGAGGTGAAGTTGAATAACTTTTTTTTGTTCTCTAGAAGAATAAGAAGAAAAAAATAAGTTGAATAACTTGATGGAAGTCATATTTCTTTATTTTTTGCCTACCTCATGTAGCAAAATAACCCTGCATCATGATGCTGCCATCACTATGCTTGACTGTTTGGAGCGGCCTACTTGGAGCGGTCTACCGTGGTCAAGCGGTCTACTTGACCGCTCCAAACACTTGGTTTTTTTGTTCACAGAAAGCTAAATGTTTTCTCCTTTCACCATAAAACGTTTCCCCTTGTAGACTTTCTAACTGTGACTTGACTTTTTGGAGGCAGTGACATTTTGGGTCAGACATGTGACACCAAACATCAAAACTGATTTAGCCAGGTTAAAAAGCAGGCAAATTAAAACTCTGTAATGATTCCAGATCTAATCCTTGTTGGAACATTTGTAAACAGTAAAAGTGTGTGGTCGAGGTGCAACATACAGGAACATTTCACACTTGTATAATAGTTCGCTATAATCACGTCATTATTATGTACTAATTCCACGTCTTTGTTTTTGTTTGTTTTAGAGTCCCGCTTCTACGGCGCTTCATTTGTTTTTCTTTTTTCCAGAGCTACCGGAATGTGACGGTCATACAGGTCGATAGAGGGCGCACTGCGTCACGGAAGGTAGAGGAAGTCTCTAAAGCACAACCAATCACAGGGGACGAAGGAGAAGCCGACGTAGAGCTGTCGTTAGCTTCATGCAAATGTTAGTTTCTTCTTAGTTATTTATAGAACATAGTTTCTTTAAACCACTGGTTATAAAAAAGGCTAATTTTAGCCGCTGGAAGAATGGGTCGAAGCAGGAGCCGAACACCCCCGAGACGAGGTAAGAAGACGTGAAGCTTTTACTACTAGGTAGCTAACGTAGCGCTAGCTTACATTACTGTCCACTGTTATGCTCCGAATAATGTCGGTTTTTTCTCCTTTATGTTCTATAATTAGCGGTTATTTTAACGTGCTTAAGTGGGTTACAATAATATCGGCCTCCTTTGAAACCTTCTTAGCAAACTGAGTCTTCAGGAGGATTGTAGAAGCTTCTAGAGTTGCGCGTCTGGAGCTGCTAAAGCTAGGCTAACTGAGTTGAATATGAAAATTTGGGAGTTATTTGGTCAGATCCGGTAAAAGTTGCACTCTGTCAGCCGAAATCACGTAGTTTTTTTTATAGCTGCTCGACCAGATATAAAGATGTAGTTTTAATAATAGATTAGTCGAAGTTATTTTCATTACAAGACTGAAGGAGCGCGCTGTTATTTGTTGAATCTCCAGTGATTAATAGTAATGTAACTATTTGTAACCATCCCTAGAATAACTTATTGTAAAATTTTATAGTTGTTTATTTTTAAAAGGAATAATTATAAAGCGGTCTCCTCTCACTCATCAGATAAGCTACAAAAACAAATTTGTCAAATAAAGATAAGCTGAAAGGAATTACGACACTGTCATTTGATTTCTCGTTTTCTTTAGTCAGATATGAACTGAATAACTATATTTTTCACATTTTGGCATAATGATTAATCAAAATTAGCCAATTTTTGCTATATCTTGTCAGAGCAGTGGTCAACAGGTCAAGTAGTGCTAATAAAATTAGTTTTCTGCTCATTTCATACACTGAAGCTGATCATTTCATAAGAACTTAGTGTTATTTTTTTGCCAATGTTTAATACATTTAATTGTCAAGGAAAACCGTTTAAACAGTTTGAAAACAAACACCTTTTTGTTAAATTTAAGTTTGTAAGTTTTTACTTTGGGCCTTTGATGACGAGCTGAATAAAAACTCCTTCAGTTTCTCTGTTGTTCCAACGTGGACATGGCAGATAAACTGTCACCTGGCCAACGTTTGCAAAGAATGACAGTTCCTTGCTACCAGTGTGCTTTAAGAAATGGCCCAGTTCCTGACGTGATGTCATTTCCTGCTGCCAGAGAGAAGACGATCCCGCTCGGCCTCACGAGAACACGAGCGGCGCCGGCGGGACAGGGATCGCTCTCGCTCCAGGGACCGGGACCGAGACCGCCGCAGATCTCGCTCACGCTCGCCGCACAGAAGACGGTCCAGGTGAGATCGTCAGTGCAGTCGAGATTGTTTTCATACGCCGCTGGGATGGGTAGATAATCCCATCTGAAGCTGGTTTTACTGTAATGTATTAATGTACCGGCAGTCAAAGGGGTCAAACTGGTCTGGAGGGCACAGAGTGAAGGCAGTTATGTAGATCTTCTATCAATGCACTTCTTAAGTAGGAATGTTAATTGGAAAATAGGATATATATGCTCAGCTTACCTTTAAATCAGCCAGATTTCAAATGAACATATTTAACGTTCCACACATTAATTGTTAGTCCAGGTATCTATAGATTAAAGTGGGGAAAACGATGATCTGATACGCCGCAGATATTTCCAGTTTTCCTGCTAACAGAGACTGCAGAGGTCTGGAATATTTATCATAGCTTCACCTCAACACAAGCTGCGTTTCCATTCATCTTATAATTGGAATTCTGAAAATAAATTAGCTTAATGGAAAATGAGCAAATTTCCTCTAATAAAAATCCTGTTGTTTTTTTTTGTTTTGTTTTGTTTTTTTCTTATAAAAGGTTTTTGCACTAGTATGATGCGGTTTTTCGGCTGTATCCAAAATAGTGTTTTTCGCTAAACTCCAGTAGAAACATTTTCTTTTTGCATCACGAGTCACATGATCAACAAACTGGATGTTACTACTGCCAGAAAAGGCAAAGAAGAAGACAGGAAGTGGTAGGAGGACAGTGGCGTGGCATTTTTTTTAATGATTTATCGATGAAACAACTTATTCATGTGATTTTAATTGCATTTCTTATTTAATGGAAACACCACATTTGCAAAGTTATTTTATTTATTTATTTTTACATTAGCAGAATATCAATAGTTTTGCAGACATTTGTAACAGAAACGAAGCTGGTGAGAGACTCTCTAAAAAAATCTAGATCATCACATTGTATGATTTAAAAAAAAAAAAAAAAAAAACAATTAACTTGCATTTAATTTAATGGAATAAGCATTTGATCAGCTACCAAGCAGAAAACATTCTGTCTCTCACAGACCTGCTAGTTCATCTTTAAGAAGCAGTTCTTCCCTTCACCCGTTACCTGGATTAATTGCACCTGTCCACCCAATCAGGCTGCAAGCTGTCCACCATGTGAGACCAAAGAGCTGTCTATGGACACCAGGAACAAAAATGTAGAGCTGCTCGTGGTCATGGGGTCAGATGAGACCGAAACAGAACTATTTGGAGGATTACAAGGAGGCTGGTTGTAGCTGTGCATCATTAGATTGTGGACAGGAGGGAGCTTAAAATCTGTGTTGCCTAGCGACAGCCCTGAAAGTATAAAGATCCGTATGGAGGAGTGGAGCCGAAACCTCTGCTGCAGTGGTCAAGAGCTACAGGAAACATCTGACCTCTGGAGTTGTTAAAGGCTTAATTAAAAATGTATTTTACAAGAGAAGCCTGGCAGCACACAGAGGTTACAGAACATTCACAGAAAAAAGATAACTCAGTCATAAATGAATAAATTACAAGATTGCTCAGTTGAAATGTTTACAGATGATTCCTGAGAGCGGCCTTTAAAAACATTTAGTGACACTGCCTCCTTTAGGTGCAAGTATTTCTGTACCAAATATTGAAATTATATTTTTTTATTGTATCAAACACTTTTTTTCATCCCATGAAATGCAATTTGCTTAAGTCATACAATGTGATTTTTTTTTTATTAATTTTATATATATAGAAAAAAATTCTATTTCACACAGATGAGATGTCTGTTCAATAGAAATGGCAGACCTTCATTTAAATCAGCGGTGTACAAATACTTACTCTCCCCTCCCCGTACCTCGCTGTAACTGTGTGAAAATGTACCTACTGCTTGTGTGTGTGGGTCATGGCAATCATTAAAACTGTCATTATTTGACAGTCTTAATGATTAGAATAGAAAAGTCCTTTATTGTCCCACAATGGGGAAGTTTCTGTGCAAATTCAGAATGACAAACAATCCTGCAGTCTGAGAGTTTTACAGATGGAGTGAGCTCTAATGTCACATCAACATGTTTGTTTACCTCTAAAGTCACTTTCATGAACAATCATGTCCTGTCGCCTCACAATAGAACAGCTTTCTGTACACGGCATGAAAAAGATAACTATGTCATTCAAGGTCTTGTTTTGCTTTCACGGCGTCCTGTGTAGTGGCGTAATGAAAAGGAACGTTTGGATTGTTAATCGTTTGCGCCCGGCTATAAATCCTGAAGCAGTGTTTCTGCTCCTCAAACAGGACTCCTCCCAGACGCCATCGCTCCTCCTCCCTCTCTCCTGTGCGGCAGAAGGACCGGCGTGACGACGAGCGGAAAGAGGCCAAAGACAAACCTGGGAAGTCCATTCAGATCTCAGGTATCGTCATCAGCAGCAGACAAATCGTTCGGTCGCTAACATGCTGACCTGAAGTTGAACCGATAAAACAGTTTTTGTTTTTCCCCTTGTGCTGCTACAGCTGAGGATATGCAAGGCAAAACAGAGGAGGAAATTGAGATGATGAAAATGATGGGCTTCGGTTCCTTTGATTCAACCAAGGTGAGTGCAGCAGTGGCTGCTGTTTGCCACACAACCACAAGGAGGCACTGTTGACCCAAATACGATCTAGCGCAGGGGGGCAGCAAACTTCAGATGCATTTAGCCCCAAGACTTATTCAAAGCTGCAAATGTTACCTTTTTTTTTTTTTTTCAGATAATTTTTGATTACTTTATGAACTCAGATAAATGTATTTATTTATATAAATGTAAATTTATGTCAGGAAATTTGTCTTTTTTAAAAAATAAAACAAAACTTTTGCACAAAAGAGGATGGATATGTACATTTATGAGAAGTAAAAAGTACATAATTTCTAAACTTGATAACAAAAAAAACTATCACTAGTATTTTTAGTATCATTCTGTCAGAGAAAATCAGTTCATATGAAACAAAAACAGGTAAAACCAGCATTTGTTGTAAATATTTGTTTAAAACATTAGTTTAATTTTTATAATTTTAGCCAGAGTTATTAAGAGCCATTGTGGACGGGCCATAGAGCCAGTCGAGGTTCCTGAACCGCATGTTGAACACCCTGTTCTAGTGTGTTGTGCAGCTAAATTGAAGATTCAACAAACTGCAGGTTGCCTTCATCTTAAGTGTCTCATATTTTCTAGCAGGATGTCAGCAATTAAAGATTTCACAGTAAAGGAACACCCAGTGTAGGACAGGAAATTCCTATTTTTATCTGTGTAAAAAATCAGTTTTTACACTGATAGAATTTTGTGACATTTTTAAACTATTGTACAAAGACAATATTTTTTTTTTCTTCCATAGGGTAAGAAAACGGATGGATCGGTTAATGCATATGCAGTCAACGTTACCATGAAGAGGAAATACAGGTACATTTATACACATAAGATTATTTCCAATTTGATGCTCATTACCCTAGCACTGTAAAGCTTTAGAGCAGAGTTAAGAATCTCCTTGTATTTATCGTATTTGGTTCTTTAAATGTTTTAGTCGTGGAGGTTTCGTTCCTGCCTAGCGGTGAGTGTTCACTGCATGGTCTGCTGGTAGAGCAGCCAATCACCTCTGCAGGTGTTTCTACGCAGATCCCAGCCCTCCTAACGGTGATGTAATGTGCAAGTGCTGCAAAGGAAGTGGTGATGTCATGTTTCCTGCTCCGTCTCTTTCTTTAGGCAGTACATGAACAGAAAGGGAGGCTTCAACAGGCCGCTGGACTTCATCGCTTAAAGGTGCCAGCAGCTCGTTTTTCACCACCAGTCTCTCCTCCCTGCAGGAGGACAAGGACAGTATGGATTTATTTCTATTAAATGTGTCTCGTGATGCAGCAAGTCTTTTTTTTAATTACTATTATTATTTTACCTTGTAAATAGTTTTTCCTCCAGTTCTCACTCAGGTCAGACCTGGTGGGAGGTGGAGCATTTTGTTGTTGAGATTTGTGCCGTATTCTTAATAAATGCATAAAAAAAAGGTGCAGTGCTGACTATGAAACTTTTTTTTCTTACTAGCTTTCACTCTTTTATCCATCAGTATATCATCAAATACTTTCTTTTCCTGCTCTTTTGGTTTTTGTATACCTCTGCTTGGTTTGTCTTTCTTGTGAATGTTTATTTTTCTGCTGATAAGAATCCAGCCTGGTGTTCTGTTCAGTGTGTCATGGAGTCCTGCTTCTCATCCAATACTGACTGCACTCTGAAAATAACTTAAACTAATAAATAAATGTATTCAACCAAGAATAGGGTAAACATTTCCACAAACACAAGCTAAGAAGCTTGATGACGCACTGCTGGTAGTTCATATTTTAACCCTCCTGTGTTCTTAAGAGACGTGGTTTCTTGGACCTCACAAGCTTTCTACTCTGTTTGCGGTTTAGTGTGGTCACACTGACCCTGTGTGTGCTTTATAAGAATTTTTTTGTGTGTGTGTAGTTTTGGGAACTGACAGTCTGACGGAACAATACCTAAAACCACAGGAGGTTAAAGAAACTCAATATATATATTTTAAATTACAATTTAAAAATTGCTAGGATTTTAAATGGCTTGTGGAACCAAGACATTTTTTTTCTTTACCTAAAATTCAGATTTAGTAATGAATATAGAAAATAAATCTCAAACTCTAGCATAGTACTCAAATATGCTTATATCATTTTCAACAATCCTTTATTTTTCTCAAAGATGTTTCATCTTTCATTTGAAATGTTTCTTCAGAATTAAAGCCATCCATCCTTTTTAGTCAAGTTTTCCAAATGAACACTTGATTGGCTCATCTAAGGCTGTTAATTACAACTGGAAATGAAATGAATTGGAGAATGTTTTTATTAAACTGTATATTTCTTTTTTCCTAATTTCACTAAGTTTTCACTTGGGAATGTCCAGTTAGGAATGAACTGCAAGCAGAAGTTGGAGCATTCCAAGGAAAAAAATAACTAAGAAGTGATTTTTTTTTATTTTTTTTTTACCAAAAAACAAAAATATGAGAAATCAATTGTCCACATATGAATAAGTCTAGGGCATCGAACAAAACTTAAATTAAATTGAGCATCATGTGGAGGTCTGCGCAGGTCAGAAATGGGAAGAAAGATCAGGCATGGTGTGCCAAGCAACAGTTTGACAAACCAAGGATCTCGTTTTCATTTATTAACAATAACAGGATGTATTGTCACTTCTGTAATTCGAACAATCTGCAGTCAGTTCCCCAAACCTGAGGAAGTGATTGAGGGTTAGGGGCTGGATGGTTGAAACCACAACCACCTCGGGTCTTTACAGCTCATCAAACGGACTACAAACCTCAACTTACAAGTCGAAAAACAAAATGGGCATGAGCTTTGTGTAAGAAAGTGGGAAGATCCACAGACTATAATCGGGGGCCATTTATTGAAAGCTTCTCTAATTCTTAAGTGCTTTTTGTGTGTGTGTGTGTGTGTGTGTGTGTGTGTGCGTGCGTGCGTGCAGTTCTGTAAATCCTTGTCGTGCAAATTATTTCCCTCCACATATTAAGAATCTGCCTTGCGATACTTATGGTCCGTCTCAAATTAAATTTCTCTGAGAACCCCGTTTGCTTATATTGTCTGAGATTTGCTTGTTTTGATTTTGAACATCAGTTTGCGCTTGCGCGGATGCGCCATTTGAGTGAGGAGAGTGAGTCCGCCCCATTTGTCAGACGGCGCACCAGCCGCCGCATTAGAATGTTGCTCCGTTCAGACCCACGGGCAAGAGCAGCGGAGGCCTGCTTCTTCCACATACACACACACACACACACACACACCAACTGTCATATGGTTATTGCTATCATATTAGGCATTGTGTCTTTAGGTTGTCTTCAGTAGTTTGCTTCATTAAAACCCGTTTACCTTCTTAACCACTAATTACGTAATAACTTCGACAGGTTGCGAGTTGTCACACTCGTTTCAAGAGAAAACTCCTCCCGTGTTGCGTCGTTGCAGCTTGTACCCCCGGTTGACTGTGACCGAATGGGTCAAGTCTGAGGAGCCAATCATTGCCGTACAACGCTAAACAGCATGGCACAAGAGGCGTGGCTCTCCATAAAAGGGTATTATCATTTTGTCTTTTGCTTTTGGGCATTGAAACCAATAGCTAAGAAGTCTGTCAGGTAATAGCCAATCACGACACACCACTGTGTTCAAAGGAAACTACGTCCATTTCGGCTTTGAGCGATGCGTCAACACCAATGGGGAATCAGAGCCAAAATGGCTGAAGGAGACCCTCAGTTTCAGTTAGGGGCCGAATCATTTCTGTTCAATGACGGTTCAGCTAACCAATAGCAGACTGAGTTGTTATGCTCAGCAACCAATCATGTGACAGCACACAGAGGCTTTGTGTTACAGTACAGTAGGTAGCTGTTGTCCACATTAACAAGGCACTATTTTGGAAGCACTTTAACAAACTATAGCTGTTCCATGTCATTCGGTACGTCCGCATCCAACGAGACGTTTCAGGCGTTCCATTAGCTGTAAACCAGCACAGACAGAACCAGCCAGCCTTAAACCACTAACGCTGGATAAACTTAAAACACTAGCAGCTCCTTTTTATAGCATTTTCCTATCTGGTAGCTTCTGGCAACTGTAGAGGCTAACGTTTTGTTTTTTTTTTCTTCCTTTGGCTGACGCTTCCAAAATACAACCGAAATAGCAACAACTTTCCGTCGTTATTTTGGCATTTTGTCATTTCTGCAAACGTTAGCCAACTTTTTTTCCACTTCAAAACAAAGCTGCCCTCTTGACACATTTTACTTGCTAGGAGAAAAAAAAAATTCTTCAGATTTTATCTACAAGCCGAATTTTCTTCGAAGACCTGCCAGTATCTAACAATTTTATTTAGCTTGCATTGAGGCTTTTAAGGATTGTTTAGCTGTGTTAGCCCTCCGCTAGCTAGCTCTCACCGACCCCTTTAAATCATCATCTGGGTGCTCAACAAGGAAGAAAGCAATTTCGGTATTTAACTGGTGCTTTATGCTGCTGGACCTTTAACTTTTAAATATACCCAGTGATCCACAGCGACTGTGTCTCCCCTCCTTCGCCCATTAAAAAACAAAACAAAGGCTGACATAACCAAATCACCTGAGCGTTGAAAGGAAGAATCTAGGGAAGGACCTTCAGCAGGTTGGATACACTCCTGGAATCTCTCTTCGGATTGTTATAATATTAGTGTTATTGTTGAAAATGGCGGCGATCGGAATGGTGCAGATGTTGATTGAAGCAGCTGAGTACCTCGATCGTAGGGAAAGAGGTAAAGTATAAATATATTGTCTCACTTTTTTGTTGTTTATTTTTTTCTTTCTCCAATTAAACTTCACAGTGGCAGTCCTTCCACAAGTGACTAGACTTTATGGACATATTTTTTAAATAGTTGCCATAAATGCGATTGCAGCTCTGGTTTAATTTTTGCAACAAGTAATCTGACGACACATGCAGTATTATTATTATTATTGTTTTTGGAGTTTGAACAGCGTGTACTTTACTCAGTTGTCTGATAATAGTCGTGATTGTGGTAATAATTCATATTTGGGGGGGATTTCAAATGCGTTCCGCAAAGACATCCGTGCAATTCGGGAAGAAGAGAGAATGGATGCATATGTTGCAGAGGCATTCAGATGTGCAGGAACACAATGTTTCAGTGGATGCCCCTCCTTTCCTTCTGTTGTGGTTAGCTAGTGGGCTTTATTGTCGTTCAGGATGACATCATTGTCCAAGCAGATAGGGGAAGGTGGGGGGCTGAGAGGGGGTTACCGTATCAAAATACTGCATAAAATAAATGGCATGCATGCACCATAGCATTAATGCTACCTTAGATCCAAAAGACGTGGCACATCTTGCAGTCTTCCTCTTTTTTTTCCCATGCTCGGCTCATGCTCACTGTGGCTATGTTTTGCACCACTAAATAACAAGACATGTGACCACGATGTTGTTTATCTGCTTGCAGAAGCTGAGCATGGCTATGCCTCTATGCCACCCTTCATCAGCAGCCGGGAGAGGGAAAGCCTCAAAAGGAAAAACAAGAGCAAGAAAAACATAAGTAGCAGGTAAAAAAAAAAAAAAAAAACAGCTGGTTGGCTTTTTGTTGCATAGACCTGCCCAGACACGGGGAGGCAGGGGCTGGGTCCATGTTGCAGGCTGAAACTTTGGGTTACATTTGGAAAACAGGAAATGACATAGATTTGCCTCCAGTTTAAGAAAATAAAGCGCACAGTTCCCAGTATGCCCATATATGGTGAGTGACTAAATTGACCCAGCTGGGCCATTGCTGGTGAAGTTAGTTTTAGTCAATCTAACTTGATCGTTTATCATCTGGTCAGTTAGCTGTTCTCAGCATGGAATGAGTGAAAAAGATCAACAAGTCATTGATAAAAACTGGGTGTAATTGTCACAGAAGTAAGTACTAGTAATCAGTGGCGCCTGATTCCCTTAATTTTATGTGTTCAGTGATACTTGCATGTGAAACAGATTTTAAATACATCCGCAGAGGTCTGAAAATCATCCACTGTCCCAACTTTGTCGCTATATCCAGCAACTTTTCAGACAAAATAAAACTGTATCGACCAAAATCAGAATCGGCAGATCAGGCTTTTAAAAGATCTGTGGTCGGCCAGAAAACTACAATAATAATAATAATAATAATAATAATACCAGAGTTTCCCCTAGAAAGCCTGGTGCTAGGGGGCAATAGAGGAGTCCATGATTGGCCCTAGCCAACATTTTTGTGTTTAAAAAATTATAAAAGCTACAAAAATTCAGAGATGCACGAGCAGACATCATAATTTTAAATTATAACATGAGGCCAACGGGCAGGTGTAATTGCACATCAGTTACACCTGCCCGTCAACTTTAAACCTAGCTTAATCTGTCTTTGCTGTCACTGTTGCTAGTGTATTGGAAAAATATATATATTTAAGAACGCTTAGGCTGGCCAGGGGGAAGTAAAGCCTGGTGACCCGCCAGGCTGAAAATACACTGGAAGAAACCCTGATAAATAACATTTTATGTATTTCTTAAACAGATGAATCTATTTCTGTATAAACTGTCCATAAATTCTACATTGCAATACTTCCCAAGTTACATGGTAGTTACGCTAAACCGCAGCGTGTATGTGCTGGCTGAGGAGAGAGGGAAATGAGCATAGAGAGGAAATATAGACAGGTCGTATGTGAAGTTGTAAAAAGAAGCAACCCATTGAGCAATGGACCTAATTTCCACGTTGAAGCTACACATTGACCTCATTTAGACATGTTATCTCTGGACGTTGCCCTGATTTAGACCTATGTATTTTGTTTAGTTTTGAACAAACCTGTCTGGTCTTAATTATTTGGCTAAGAATTAACAGTATGTAAGAAACACAAAAAAAAGCATAAACAGAAACTCAACTTTATTTAATTCATAATAGATGAACTAATATCTTTGCTTCTTTATCAGCTGTGATGTTGTGGGAGTAATATCAATGTGTGGAAACAAAACTATAAATAAACTCAAGTGTTGCTGTACACAATACTTGAGTGGACCTAGCTCCACCTTCAAGGCACAGCTCCTCCTCAGAGCTGTAGTTTCCAAGCTTCGGCCTCACAAAGCAGCCCCTGTATCACCCCCACTCGGCTCCTCCAGACTAGCCATCAGCAATTAGCAAACACCTGGTGGAACTGAGCATCATCTGACCGTATTATAGGAGCTACTTCTCAGTGCAATGCTGGTAGAAACATTGTTACAGGGTTAATAGAGGAGCCATGTTGTGATGACTTCCTGAAGGTGGAGTTTCAGAGAGGGCATGTTTAATAAAGAGACCGAGGCCCAATTTCAAGACATTAAATTAGGAAGTAAAATTCTTTTAAGTCATATTTGCATTTTTATAATAAGTGAATGTAACATAGTTACTTGATTGTGCTGTAAGATGGCACTGTGTGCCTGGAAAACACATAGTACTGCATGGATAAAAAATGTAGTTGTAGCATAAGCGTACTTTCAACACCACAGATGTTTATGGATCCTCAAGACATGGTTAAGACACATTTAATTAGATTCTATTAGATTAAAAATCAAACCCGTCACATCACATATAGGAGCCACTTTGGAAATCAGCATCAATTTCCTAATATAATTCTTGCAAACATTAAAACTGGCTGGAAAAAAATAGACCTCATGCATTTTCATTTAACTTATAATTTATTGTTGCCTCCCTTGTTGTCTTTACCTTGAAACTGAAGGCGATTTCTCTTGAGATTTGGTTTGGTCGCACTTCCTGTCTCTACTGCGGAGCTGCTCTGAAAGCGAAGCGTCCTGACAGTGGACGTCTGCAGCTGCAGACTTAAGTCAGCATCTTTTTGGACTGTTTTTGTCTTGTGCTGCCTCCACTTAATGCTTCCCTAACGCTTGTAGACCAAGACTAGTGCTTTTTAGCACTAGTTGTGTTCTGACTGACGGCGACACACATCAGTCCGGCTTTAAAGTCAGCAGCAGCTCGCCAAGACCAGCCGGGTCAAACCAGGTGACTCCAGGCCGATTCAGGGAACCGTTCTCAGTCTGAGCGTTGGACGTTAAAACCACTTGTGTCCGTGTGCGATGCATAGCTGAAGTTTGGTTCAGTTTCATGATCCTTTCCAAGAACACGTACAGAATGTTCTTTACCTGTTGAGCCTCATTCATAATGTACAGGAC